GATCAGCACGTGTCAGCGTCGGATCCATGGTTGTTCCAACTCCAATTAGGCCTCCAGGTACAGCAAATTGTAGTTCATTTTGCTCGGCAAACAATGACACGATTCTTGAATATATGGGGGTACATTTAATGTTGCCACTCTCATCCTTGACAACAATACCTGGACGAACCTCGATCAATTGATTTACCTTCAACACACCCTGCACAACGAATTCAACTACTGACTCAAATATGTAAACCCTGCAACAAGATTTTCTTCATGTCCAGGTCAAAACAAGCACCGAACTACAGTAAAATGATGAAAACAACGGTCTGTGGGTGGAACACAAAGTTCTTATGGCAAAAGAGATACTGGAAGTTGTAGCAAACAGCTAGCTCAAGGAAACAAGAAACATACCTTTAAAATACTGCCACCAGCAACGCCACCTCTGATATCATCAACTTCAAAACCAGGTTTATTAACATCAAACGACCGAATAACAATCATATTTGGTGGTGAAGTGAAATCCCTCACAGGAATGGGAATCTTTTTCACAATATATTCAGCAACAACATCAATATTATACTTCAGTTGAGCAGAGATTGGTACAACTGGGGCACCATCTGCTACAGTTCCCTGAAAATGGTGTTGAAGTACAGTATCATGATATAGCTTCACATATCAAGCATAGAGACAGTGCAAGGCTAACCAATACCATATACCACTAACCTGAATAAATTTCTGAATAGCTTCATGCTGATTGATGGCAACATTTTCCTGAACAAGATCAACTTTATTTTGAAGAATTATTATATGTTGGAGGCGCATAATTTCAACAGCAGCTAAATGTTCAGAAGTCTGAGGTTGGGGACAGCTCTCATTGGCTGCAATTAGAAGTAACGCTCCATCCATAATGGCAGCTCCATTAAGCATGGTAGCCATGAGAATATCATGACCCTGCATAATAAAACATAGTATAAATGCATACTCGCTAAAAAATATTAAATGGCTTATAGACAATTAAATTTATCATACGGCGATCTAAAGAATTGACATGATAACAAATGTAGGGAAAATTTATACGCCTTCAAATTTTCAATCAATAAATCTTTTGATGTACTAAAAATGTCCACTCACAAATGAACAGTGAAGACACAGCAGAAGTGGATGAAAATATACAACTACCAAAGGAAGATAACTATAGATCGAAAAGTTGCAAGATACAGCATGAGATGGCAGAGGAGATGCTTAACCATCTTCACTATGATTACTTTAATGCAGCCAATGGTAATGTGCAACAAAAATATGGATTCCCTTCTATGAATTTGCCTTTTATTTAATGATATGAAAGCAAGTCATTGGCCTAAATCCTTATGCTTAAAGAGGATAGTACCTAAACATAGGCAAGTGAGGACAAACTCAACTTCATGTTGACAAATCGCACAGGCTCAGTGCTCAAAATCTAAAGCCATCAAATAGACGCAGAGATTTTCAGTCAAAGGGACAATACAATAAGCACCTTAGAAACTTGAAGGTTTCAAGATGCTAAGATGGGCTTCACCAATAATTCTTTAAATAAAATCAGCCAAGTAAAAACTTGCTCCCTAAAATAGGAAGAATTGCAAGTCAGATCAAATAGGAACTTGAGCTCTCACTGCATGAAAAATAAGCTTTGGCAGCACAGCTGAAGCTCCCTATAAACAAAGCAGTAATGATCCACCGAAAGACTTTTTTGATACTTCCATTTTGGTTTTATTCTAGAATCGCGATAGCTAAGATATTCTGTGGTATATTCATCTCAAACGCAATTATAAAACAAATGTTTATCACCTTGTAGATTAACTTAATACGAGCAAGATTGAATAGCAGATTGGCAAGTTAGATACTTACAGGACAATCAACAAAGGACACATGTCTCAGCAATTTCATCCTGCAGGTCTCAAAACCAGGGACATCACACATTGGACTGTCTTCTTTTCCACTTCCATATGCCCTGAAAAGATATCTGTTAACTCACAACAAACCAGATGAAGCAGAAGAACAATTTTCCCGAAAATTCAAGAGCTTACTTGTAGCACATGGGTCTAGGACAGCGCTCATCTTCACATTTGTATATCTTCGCATTAGCATACCCAAGCTTAATTGTAATGTTACGCTCTAGCTCATTCTTAAAACGAACAGTCTGCAGAATTTAGGGGAATAATTAATTGTTATTTTCAAGTAAAATAGAATCTGAACCTGTGCAAAGGCTTTTTTATAATGAAAAGGCAGGAAAATTATTCATGAGTACGATGAAAGTAGAAAGAGAGTGCAAAAGAGAAGACTTCTTCCTTCTAGATACTGAAGGAATGCAATAGACCCAACAGTGAAACTATATGATATAATCATTTTCCTACAACACATAAGAAGACTCTTCAAACATCTAGTTTTATATAAGAGATGTGCTCAATTTTCCAGAAAAGCATCTATCATTTCTCTCAAACCGGATGTTCAAGAAAATGCAGCTAGGCACTATCCCAGTAGAGACTGCTTCCCATATCTGATGACTGAGTATACCGACTTTTTAAGGCCTGTTTAATGCTTCCTGTCATGACCCATTGTTCAAGAAACATAGACCATATCTGCCTGGTGAAATTACATTGCAGTAGCGGTGATCTACTGGCACGTAAACTTCTACTCATAAAAAGCATCTACTGTAAAATAAGCTCCTGAATAAGGCAAGCACCATGAGTTGCATTCTCAAGTAAAACAGACAACTCTTGGAGGAACAATACTCATCCAGATTACATATGGCCAGTTTTCAGACCTTCACAAGATAGGAGTAAGATCTGCGTACACACTACTCTTCCCAAACCCACTTATGGGATTACACTGGATATGTTGTTGTCTTCAGCAACAAATTAATAACATGCCTTGACAGAAAATTATTTGCTTTTCCATAGCAAAGAATCAACCACCCAAATGCAACATGCTCTTAGCTTTTCAAATATGTTTAAAACATTATTCTATTTATAAAAATTGTTGTTATTACCCTCTATGCATACATATGGTACTACTAAGAATGCAAGTTGTACGAGGAAGATTAGATAGAACTAAGGACTTGAAGATCATCATGTCAAACCAATCACTAGGATGAACAAGCCACAAACACAAGAACATCATCAAGGATCTCAAAAGTTGATTCCTCTAGCCTAATTTTCCATTACTAAAAGAGGATCCATCTCATTGCAGGAATTTAAGCTATATGGTATACTTTAACCATGCTAAATGCAGAAAGAGCACATTGAGTTTATTTCTTCACAATGACAGAGACAAAGATAAAAGGAAAACAGAAGAAATTGAGAAAACCCTACTAATGCAATGTCTTACCAGAATTTGATGAATTACATAAATGTAGAAAAAGAAACAGTATTAACTTGGCAATCAACAATTCAACATCAATCAGTTATACTCATAATGGGTTATCTACAATTAAGAGGTGCTATCACATTTTTATTAAATCGACATATGATTTGTATTCAACTAAGAAGCTGATGAAAAGGGACAAGCTCACATCCAACAGGAGTCTTATGAACTAAAGGGAAAAACCTTCTATGCTTAAATTAAACGCCATTAAAACTCTGAAACAAAGATATACCTGCACACCAGATATAGCTTTTACAACTGTTGACTTTCCATGAGCCACATGGCCAATGGTACCTAGCAAAAGGAATTAAATTCAACACCAACTCCAATAACGTATAAAAGTGTGTCCAGAAAAAGATAGTTAAAAAGGACAACAATCAGAATACCACTGCACTCCAATTCCAATATACAGAATAAGGGAATGCAAAGCAGATAAAATGTTCAACAATCATTAGTTTACCTATGTTTATGGTAGCCTGACGAGAAATCACTTCAGGTGAAAGTGGATGCAGCTGTGCTACATCCAACTTGCTTAGGTCCTGCTCCATCAGTCCTTTTCTAGACATTTTGGATGCTCCTTGCTAATTCAGAGATCAGTAATTTTTGAGTCTGGAATTTGGAGCAGAGATAAAGAAGGTCATCCACATAATTGCAGGTGACTTAAGAGAGAAAATCAAGCAGTCTAGTAACAAACTCAAAGCATAAAATCACATGTAAGTGACCTTAATCAAGAATATTTGTTTTGTTAGACAAAGAAGAATATTATTCCTTTATATTCCTCAAAGCTCTTACAGAAAGTTTTGTTTCTCCCTTATATGGTAGAAAGGGTAGCACCCAAGGGTCAGGCCTAGTGGTCAATGAAATGGGTCGGTAACCGTGAGGTCATAAGTTCAAATCCTAGCGAGGCAAAAACATTAGGCGGCTTCTTCCTATTTGTCCAAGCCTTGATAGACAGAGTTACCTGGTACCTGTGTTGGTGAGAGTAGCAGGTACCTTATAGAATTAGTCGATGTGCATGCGCAAGCTGACTCGGACACAATGGTTAAAAAAAATAGTAGAACCTTATCAACAAAAGAGTGATCTCCAAACGACACACTCCAGCTGGAGAGCAATCAATCAATAAACATCCCGAACATCTCAAAGCAGTAATAGGAGGAACTCTAAGATTCAACAGAGCTTAGTTGCAAGTTTTGGCAAACATGACCAATTAATAGGTGATGGCATGCCAGTGGGACACAAAGACATGCTAGAATTGCAAAGTGCAATATACTAAGGAAGGTTTTTTCTTTCTTTCAAACTAAATTAGAGAACAAAGAAACCACTCAAAAACAAAAGTTAGAAAAGAGTGTTAATAAGAACCAGTACTAGACCCCCCACCCACCCACCCACACTCTCTCTCCTTTCTTTTTGTGCTTCCACCGGGAATAGAAGCAAGCGTACCAAATCGCAAAACTCTTTCTATTATACAATGCAATATTGCAAACAAAAGAAAAACCAAGTGTAAATTGAAAGACTTCAGACCTATTAGCTTGATAGGGAGTTTCTACAAAATTATATCAAAGATTTTGGTAGAAAGACTCAAAAAAGTCATTGGAAAATTGGCGGGCACTCAACAGATGGCCTTTATCAAAGGAAGGCAAATCATGGATGCTGTTCTGATTGCAAATGAGTGTGTTGATGATAGAATGAAGAGCAAAGAACCAGGCATTTTGTGTAAGCTAGACATAGAAAAGGCTTATGACCATGTGAACTGGGAGTTTCTGCTGGGAATCCTACTGAAGAAGGGCTTTGCTGAGAGATGGATCAAGTGGATCAAGGTCTGCATAAGCACTGTCAAATTTTCAATTCTGATAAATGGATCACTTGTGGGATTTTTTTCTTCTCAGAGAGGCTTGAGGCAGGGGACCCTATATCCCCTTTTTATTCATTTTGGCAATGGAAGGTTTAAACAGTCTGTTTAAATCTGCTAAAGCCAACAGTTGGATTAAGGGATTCAGGGTGAATTCAAGAATCCTAGAGTCAATGGAAGTATCCCACCTGCAATATGCAGATGATACATTGGTGTTTTGTGATGCTGATAGAGATCAGGTTCTTCTCTTAAGAGTGATATTCACCCTGTCTGAAGCTATTTCTGGATTACATATTAACTGGAATAAGAGCTTTATCTATCCAGTTAATGTAGTAATGGAGATTAATAGCTTGGTGAATATTTGAGGGAAAGTAGGATCACTGCCAACAGTTTACCTGGGAATGCCCCTTGGAGCAAAAAGCAAATCTAAAGGGATTTGGAATGGTGTAGTTGAGAAGTGTGAAAAGAAGTTAGTCAGCTGGAAAAGCCAGTATTTATCTTTGGGAGGGAGACTTACACTAATCAACAGTGTACTGGATGCTATGTCAACCTATATGATGTCCCTTTTTCCTATGCCTGTAAGTGTAGCAAAAAGACTTGATGCACTGAGGAGTGAGGAGAAACTTCCTATGGCAAGGAGCCAGTGAGAAGAGCAAGATTCACCTAGTCAGATGGGATGTTCTCACAACAAGCAAAAAAGAAGGGGGTATGGGGATCAGGAACTTGAAGACTCAAAATCAAAGTTTGATGATGAAGTGGCTATGGAGGTTTACCACCTCAGAACTATCCTTGTGGAAAAATGTGATTGAGGAAAGGTATGGGAAGGAAGGCAGCTGGACAACCAAACCTGTGAACACTCCTTATGGGGTTAGTCTGTGGAGATCTATTAGAAATCAATGGCCAAAATTCTGTAATAAGTCTAGTCTTAAAGTTGGCAATGGTATGAAGATTTCTTTCTGGGAAGACAAATGGCTTGGACAAAGAACCCTGAAGCAGTTATTCCCAGACATCTACAATCTCAACCAACAACAAGTTTCATATGTAGGAGAATTGTGGACAGGCCAAGGGTGGAATCTCACTTTCAGAAGACTCCTAAATGATTGGGAAGTTCAAAGGGTGACAGAATTTTATAACACTTTAGAACAATTTAAAGGGACCTCTTAACATTGAGGATAGGGTGCTTTGGCAAGGGGGAAAAGAGGGCAAGTATTCTGTAAGTTCTGCCTACAAGATTTTCAACCAGTCTAACAACCAGAATGATCAGTGGCCATGGAAGATGATATGGAAAGTAAGAATTCCTTACAAAGTTGCTTGTTTTACTTGGTTATTAGCAAGAGAGGCAGTCCTGACACAAGATAATCTCACCAAGAGAGGTTATCAGCTGGGATCCAGATGTCACCTGCGTGAAGCTCAGGAGGAGACAGTCAACCATCTTTTTTTGCACTGCAGTGTCACTGATCAACTGTGGAAGATCTTCATCAACCTGAGGGGGATCCGATGGGTTATGCCAAGAAGAATCAAGGAAGTCCTAAGCAGTTGGAAAAGAGATGGGGAACAATCCAGCCAGAAGGAGAGATGGAAGATTGTCCCGGCTTGTATATGGTGGACAATATGGAAAGAAAAGAATCAGAGATGTTTTGAGGATAACCATAGTTCAATACAAAAGCTGAAGATGAGCTGTTTAATGCTCTTTTATTTTTGGTGTAAACAGGAATATCTAGAAGAGAGTGAGTTAATTTTTGATGTTTTAGATCAGTTGTGAGTATTATAGAACCTTAGGCCTCTCTTCTGGTTTCCCCTTTGTAATTATCAGAAGGTTACACTCTTAATGTAACCATTGTCATATTCAATACAAACATATTACCTTTTCAAAAAAAAAAAAAACCAAGTGTACCAAATCGCAACTCTTTCTATTACTCAATGCAATATTGCAAACAAAAGAAAAACCATTCGCATTTCCAAACACACAATTGTACTTTCTAATGGGAATGCATTGCCATTCGAGAAATTTTTTTATGACAGAGAAATCCGTCGGGGGCCAACCGTTAGGACCAACCACAGCCTTCAAAACTGGTGATAATGGGCCCGCCCCTCTATTCTTCTTCAGTTAAACAGTAGGCTTAGTTCGCATTGCCCCAGGTTCGGACCTATGACCTAAGTCGCAAGTTCTTCAACCTTTGGCACCTGAACTAAGCCCTGGGGCACATTGCCGTTAACAGATCAAAACAACTATTACTGATTCATCTGTTTGACCTCTTTTGCTTCCTATTTCACATCCATTTACAAGAAAAAGTGGAACTCCTTTTGCTTTCCAATTAGCATAGCAAGCCAAAGACAAAGAACTCACAAAGAAATCAATTAAAATAAATGTTTCGAACTTCCAATATACAAACTTAACTGATCCCAATAAGCGAGATAGCTTAAGCTTTAGATTATTACCAATGCAAACACTCCTAAAACCCTAATCTCAAAAATCTCACTTTACCATGATACATTATCTCCCACAAACTAATCATTTTCGACGACTCATAAAGAAATAAGAGCTAGAAAATCAAAATAACATTAATATATGCATCTCAGATATTTGCACTTGTCAATGAATAAAAAAATATTGCAGTGGTAAGAAATAAAATAAAATAAAATTGAATTTCTTGCAAATGAAATCAAAGAAAGAAAAGACCAGTTCCGCCGTATCCGGCGGAAGAACGATGGACTCACCAGAGTGGAGTGATAAGGTGTACGGCAGCCGTCGGAGTGCAAATGCGCTTGAGAGAAAGAGAGAGAGAGAGAGCTAACGCGAGAAGTGTGATTTTAGCTGATGATATTTACGTTTGAGACCACCAACTTCTTACTAATTAAATTACAGGAAGACCCCCTACTTTCTAATTTTCGTAGTATTACACTTTTACTACCTTGCTCGATTATCAGACTATTAGTTATACAGAGATTATAATACAAAAATTATATTTATCAAGTGTTTGGTTTATTGTATAAGAAGTTAGATACACAGTGTATAACTTATATTTGTATTTGGTTTAAAATTGTATAAGTATTTCGAAAAATTTGAGAGATCCATAAGGATAGTTTTGACATTTTAATTACTTTCATGTATAACTTATCACGGTCGGGGGCGGAGGCAGAATGCGTGATGTGGGTTCGGCCGAACCCATAGCTTTTGTTCAAATCATGTATTTGTCTTAAGAAATCCATTGAATATGTTCAACTTATTAATTTAGAACCTAGTAACTTAAAAGTATTACAATTCCGAACCCATAAGGTTCAAATCCCGGCTCCGCATCTGATCACGGTATTGTTATACCATATTGGTCTTGGTATAAAATAGTACATCTATTGGTGTATTAGTTATACTAAGATTAGCTATACATAATTTTAAAGAAAAATCAAATATTGAATAACTTAAAATCAAATAATATATGATGATTATTTCAATAACCCATCAAATCAAATGAGCACTGAGTGGTAAAATAATCTATGTATATCGACTTACTTTACTTATTGAGTTATAAGCTTTCACAAATATTTGACCGATGTAATTTGAAAACTTTATATAAATAGTTTGTCGGATTTACTATTTAGTTTACTAGTCGATATACAGATTTTAGTTTAATTATTTGAGTGAACGGTTATTTAAGCTAATTCTATGCCGGAGGGGACGTAAATGATATCAAATGATTCATATAAATTCACTTCGTATTTACTCTGTGTATATAGGTGTAGGCGATCTATATTTTAAAAAAAGTACTTATTATTTAAAAATTGACTCTACTTGAAAAAAATGTGATGTCCAGCCCACTGGCACAGTGGGTTCACCTCTTTGATTTGATAGGATTTCAAGTTGGAATCTATTAAACATACAAAAAAGACCCTTGGCAAAAATAAAAATATTATAAATAGAATTTTATTTATGGTGAATGTTTATATTTAGAGAGATTTTAGGGTTCATTGCTTGGTGGTTAAGTCACCCTCTCCCTATAAATAGAGGGTTCTATTCTATTGTAATTCATCCCAAAATTCAATGAGAATTCTCTCTACCTTTCTCAGCAATATTGTTCTTGTTCTTTTATTGTTTTATAACACGTTATCAGCACGAGACTCTAACCAATTGAGTAGAAACTTTAGGATTGAGCATAATGATTGTCAATTGTTCCATAAACTTCCTTCATGATTAAATCCTGGATTTAAGGTAAGTGTTTTACCGTATTTTTTTCTTTTATTCTATAATTTAATTTTAAATACAAGCAAAGACAATACAATTTGATTATAACTCTAATGGAGTTAGTAAGAAATTATAACCACTCGAAGTGGTAAAATTTTTATATCTTGCCATGATCAAATTTATGTATGATTATGGGCACAAGAAGTGCATACCCGTCCCATTGAATTTGCTTCATTCTCATTCCCTTAAGAGAATGTGATAGCAGTATGTGATAAGTCTGAAAGAAGACAAAATTATTACCGTAAAGGTATCAATGGATGTGGATGTGGTATTAGACGAAATTATAATCGTCATCATTGTGATAATGAGAATAATAAGGATTCTCAAAATAATCCTTCACTCTGTGAAAGTAATATTTGTCATCGATTTGACGTGATATTTTATAAAGCACATATAGATGATTATGGTCAATTCATGATGTGAATGTGAAAATATCTGATTTATGAATACATATTCATTCTTGGAAGAATATGAACGTGCTTGTGGTAGTGAATATACCACACTCACCTCTAGAAGGAGGTTTGAGATGATATAAGAAAATAATGTCATTATTATGGCATGAATGGTCATTGGTCACATACCTATTGTACGCCAACATATTTTGGCATCGTGATTATTAAAAGACAACATTAATGCAAGAAACATATCTTGCATATAATTTTGACCATGACCATAATGGTATAACTTTCTCCTTAAAAGAGATATTCACCATATGGATGTTGATGAACATGTGATAGTACCAAATTAATTGAGAGCTCTGGAAGAGCCAATTATTACTATTCTGGAGGAATAAAATTGATTATCAATAAGACGTTGTGTTGTAGTATGTCTCAAAGAAACTTATTGAGTTTCTAAAGTATTCGTGAAAGCGGTTGGTCATACTGAGACTATGAATAAAGGAAGATTTAATATCTTCTATTACTACAACTTATAGCAGGGTAATATGTATGTGAAAAACTACCCGCTTTATTCTCCAGTTTGTACTACACAAACAAAAGAATGCCACAATAAAGAGAAGTTTATTGATATAACAATTCATATCATAATAAACTTGGAGTTTATTGATAATTGCACACGCCATGGTATAAATATGAAGTTTATCAATATTGATAATTTATTCAGTTGGCA